TGTACTTTGCCTATATAAGACATCAAATCCTCATTCATCCATTCATTCCTTCTTCTTCCTTTGGGTTTATGCGTTTGGGTTTTCTGCGTTTGAGGTTTCACTCGCAATGAACTACAATTGAACGCGTGTCTTCTCATCGTTCTTCTGCTTCAATCGACCACATTGGAATAGGACTCAACTCTTATTCCATAATCAAAGGACCAACCTTTCAAAACGGAGTTGCAATCCCTCTACTGAATACCTCCTAAGAATCTATTAGAATAAAGCTAACAAAAAAAAAACTTTCACGACAACAGAGAACACAAACAGAATTATTCAGTACTTTAGAGATCAAAGATTCATTCAGCTAGTGATGTTTAATCTCATTGTCCATCAATTTCATTTGAAGTTAGATTAAAACCATTCCAAATACTAAAATTATGCTGGATTTTATTTGCAGTACTGGTGACAAAGCGTTACTTCAGGTAATTCAGAATATCAAAATAGAAAATAACGGTATTACCGAGATCATACAAAAATATTTCGTGATTCTTGTTAGGTATCCATAAAACAGTTACGACACGCAAGAAAACAGCACTGCTCAAAAGAAATCACGACACCATTTGCGATCTCATTGACATACCATAATTTTTTTCGAAGATATCGAGACTCCAACTCCAAATTTACGAAACCATTAACTGGCGTTTTTCAAGATTAAAGTCTCGGGATTTTGTGTTTTAGTCATTATCATAATGATTAAAACACAAAAATCTTTAAAAACAGTGCTAATAAGACCTATTCTTCATTGGTCCTTGAAACAACACATATTGAGTACAGTTTCTCAAGATATCGAGATGAAATTCTCTCCGTTTTAACGTGAAATCTCAGGCCAATTCGTTTTCTAAACGGGGAGCATAAAATATTTAAATATAACAACTGCTAAGCGTTTAATTTCAAATACAGAACTCCATCAGCTACTTAGTCTTCATCAGGAAACTATCCCAAACATCAAACATCTCTCTTCCTGAATAAATCCAGCTTTCAATCAAATTATCCCAAATATCGTACAGTTATTTAGATATCCCAGTTTTCCAAAAAATTTTCAGTGAAACGGCACAGCATCTATACTTTGCAATAGCTAAAAGAACTACCTACCACCGGTCCTGCAGAGAGAAATTTATTGATGAAGTTGATAGAAAAATATGCATTTAAGTTTCAAATTGTTTTTTGGTGTTGAGAGATAACATTTTGGCGAATATTTAAGTGTTTTCCTTAGAAGGATTTCAATCTCTTTCTTTTTTCCACCATTTAATAACAAAATATTTTCAATAATATACAGAAAAAATGCACGTGTCAAAACAAAAAAATCATTGAAACGTTTTCTTGCTATGCAAATCTTTCAACACCTCGTCCAACTCGTCATCCTCCATCTTATTTTCCAGGCTAAACAATAACTTTCTTATTATTGATAGAATGAAACGATAAAGGAAATTCAGTAAATTAAAATTCTGAAAAACTGATTGTCCAAGATTTCATAAATTGTGCAGAAATGATCAGGAACATGGCATTAATAGTTGTGATGATTCAAATAATCTTCACTAAAGTAATGTGTGACAAGAGAAGACAAGAAAAAGAAAAATCTGAAGACCTGGGAATTAACGCTTTCGCTTCCTCAGATGTTTCTGGACAAAGGTTAGCAATCTGCGCAACCTCGAATTTATGTAGCGGTTTCGTTGCCAACAAACTGCAACCAGCATTTATTTTAACGTCAGTGAAAATGAAATTTTGATTTCGACAACATAATCGTAAAAAACACATCCTTTTCAAATGTATAGTTCAAACACTTACGTTCTAACAGCTCGAATTGTTTCTCTATTTTTAAAACGTGCCATTCGTCGCGTATAATTTAAAGTTTTCACGAATACATCACTCATCTCGTCGATCTCCTCCTGAAAACACAATTTCCCCCGCTAATAGCAAACACTGATTTAGCTGATATCAATATCAGATTCATCTCAAAGCCAATCATAAACGTTGCAGGGAATGATAAAGACCAAGCAAATGGATTTATTCAATTAATGTATCTTACATGAAACAACGCCTAAAGGTAAAATTTTAGCTGCAACATGGATTCCATAAAAATCACAATTCTACTTGCAAAACGCAGATAGTTTTGAAAAGAATTATGGCATTAAGATGATAACATCCTAATCCATCTACTACCTCTGTGAATTGAACTTCTAATGTTGCCTGAATTAACTTGCTACTCCAGAAATCTAAAATTGAAGGAAAACTAATTTGTCTGTATATGGAACAACTCCACGCTATACGTTAGCATCGGCTAAAAGAATTCGTCCAAACTTGAATGATTAAACTCGATTTAAGTTTATAATTTGATCAAGAGACTTTACCTTTTGCTCACTTTGCTGGCGTCGATGTTCTAACAGTAAGTATACTTCCGATGTTAGCAAAGTATCAGCTTGTTCAAATTCTGAAAGCAGAAATAATACGACAATTAATCTAAACGCTGTTGTTAACGTCCGGAAAACGATGCCAAGCCATATAAAAGCATATAAAAGCTGAGACAGAAGCAGAATTTCTTTGTTTTTGCATGTTAAGCAGAAAAATAAATCACACACTAAACAATGGAATATGAAGCAAACCTTTCGGAAATTTCAATTCAGTCGCATCTTCATCAGTTGCATCATCCGGCTGATTACCGGGCATTATTCCCTTATGCTGCTAAAAACAAAAATCCCTGCAAACTCTGCATTCATATGTCATTTATTGAGATTTAAAGACATTTTCCTCATACGTCATATTTGGTATAAATAACCAAACTTAAAGCATACTCGAGGTAAGAAATTATTTTTATTATTCAGAAAGATTATCTAATAATACAAATCGCATAAACAATAATTTGACAGAGACGGAAAAGGCAGGAGCTAATATATCACTATGGATTAACAAAAAATAAAAAAGGTGAGCTAAAATCCATTCTTTGTATTTGTTACAACCATTCACCGTATTTGTTGCACGAATCAATTGTCACCGTAGTAATTAGTTATAGCAAATTATTATAAGATCAGAGATCTCTAACAAAATTAAAAGAGATGATAGAAAATATGGACATCGATAATCTGAGCAAAAAATATAAAGACCAATAAAGACTGTTTATAGATCAGCATGAAAATAATTAAAATGGCGGCAGAGATTTACAAAAATCAATTTGAACTGATCTTCACGACGAGACAAAACTGTTTTTACATGTGCTTAATTTCCACCGGAATTTCAATAAAATATTATATAAACATGTTATTGAAGAAAGTCATAGTCTTCGGAAAACTTGAAGATCTTGAAGATATTAGAGACATTCAGTATAAATGTTAATAGATCCTTTCTCATTAGTTCAACTACCTTCATACACATTTCGCTCAGTCTTCTGATTTAATCTTTCGCATCACTGTAGCCACTGAAAGGACTGTAACAAATGTGCAGAACTGTAGGAATATGCGGAATCTGAAATACACAAATACCTTATTATCAGAACTAATAAGCCAGTTCTATCATATCTTGTCTAATTCTGGCCTTAATACATGTTGCACAAGTTATGCTTATACATAACGGGTAAAACAATAATAATATTTCCGAAGCAACATTTTCGCAAAGTCGATCCTCGAAAGACTTCTGATACGTATCATTATAAATTTACCGTCATAGCAATCTCAATCACAGAAAAAAATGGTATATGTAATGCTGTGGAATGCGGCAATTGAACTAAGATCTGAAAAAAGTATAAAGACTGCGAATTAATCTGACCTGTGCTCAGCAAATGATACTCTTTCCGAATGAGGCTTTAAAAAGCCATTCAAGACAATCCATGGCAGTACAATTCCAGAGAGAACAAAAGGATTCTTCAGTACATCATGTCGCTTTTTCAGATTTTTATAATCCTTCTGAAAAGGAAAGGACAAGGCGTTAAAGTTTCAATCTGCACACCTCTTCTGAGCGCTAACATTCATGATAAAATGTATTCCTGAAACATCCGGTCGAATAGTAACCAACAGTCATAGAATGCAGTATGAGACAAATAATCGACAGTGATAACCTAAACATCATTGTCGACGATTGTATTTGAATAACTTACACTAATATCAGCAGTGCCAGGAGTAAAACTACCAACCTGAAAAATTTAATAAGTCATTTTAAGTTATTTAGAATAGCTTTAATTCGAATATAGCTTTATCCTTATAAATGATTCAAATAAAATAGGAAGATCCTAAAAATTCTCCTTCGAAAAAAAACAAAAGATTCGAAGAGCAGTCCCTCGAATATCTATTCTATTCATCGTCATATGAACTAAAATTACAACTCAAATCCTTCGAGTCGAGCTGGAAGTCCTTTCATTCATATATTTTACATCCTATCAAACTTCATTCATTACTCTCACAAATTGCATAATACAATTCGAAATACAAATTAATTTTGCACCTTCATGTTCATACATCTCCATGAATAGCTGAAAAAACTCATCCGAGCCTTTCCAAAGTAACTTTAACAATGAAAATAAATACTTTTCGATGATGACGATAAGCGATATCAGCTTCTTGGATTATCAATAATGATACCATCAATTTTAAAAAATAAAATGAAAGAAAATGATGGAGAAGAAAACATGACTAACCGATGTGTTGGCCATACACATTTTGCGTAGAATTCTTATTACCATCGTTCTCTGTAAAGTAAGCATTAATTTTCTGCAACTTCATCTAAACTCTCGTAACGCTATTAAGCTACAAGGTAAATAGAGACAGTAATCTCGTTTATCGCCAGTTGAAGAGTAGAGAAAAATTATCCAAGCAAAATTGGCTCATCCCGGAAAAATCTCCTCTGTACCTACACACAAAGCACCAGGAGCAACTAAAATTTTACGGCCGAAGCATTAGAAAGCGGTGCGGGACAGGGAGAAAGCTTCCCCCGCTTAATCGATATGATAATTATTTGAGGCAGGGAATTATTCGCGGGAAATGTTTCTGAATGCTGTTAACTTCTGTTCATGTTAAACATTTTATAAGAAAAAAAGGAAACAAAAATAATTGATACAAATCATACATTCCTGTTCACTATAAAGATCTGCATGTTGCATTATATCCTTAGATGCATGCATCTGCATGCTTAAATTACATTTCCATATCTATCATTACGCGTAAACAAATGTTCATCACGTGCATACATATTCTATTCTATTGCTATACAATTAAAATGAAAGCAAAGTTTCAATTTCAAAACGGTACTTAATTTTAAACAAACGTAAAGTATCTCCTCATTTAAAAGGATTGATAAGTGTTGATATTATCTGAGTGAATTTCTTCATTTTTTCTCTTATATCACTCGTTTGCTTAAATTAAACTTATCAAAAAAATGAATACATGCATGTTAAAAAAAATTAACCCCTTCATGTACCGCATTGAAGTTATGAAAATTTTTTGACAATAATAATTTCTTTTTTGATCAGTGTTGCAATTATATTTGGCATTTCTTTTGAAGGAAAAATTGTTCGATTCGGAAGGATTGCATCAATCGGTTTCCATTTGTTGATAGTATCGAGCTAATGTGGCACATGTAAGTACGAAGACGAATGAGGATCCTTGCAGGAATATTCGAAATCTGAACGAAATAATTAATTAGCATAGAGATGTTGATTCATCTAATCATTAAGATCATTGTGAAATCATACTTCAAGCTAAAAATGTTCCACATTACCTGTGTTCGGCGAACGAAACTCTTTCACTGTGCGGTTTCAGGTAACCCATCAAAGCTATCCATGCTAGCAAAGTACCCCCTAGGAATACCGGATTTTTTAGCCAATCACGATTTCGTTTCATCTCTTGTTGTTGTAGCTATAACAAGAATATCCACTGTTATCATCAACATCAGTATTACACAATCACAGTTCTTTCTCCCTTTATCATTTTGAAATGATTCAACAATCATTATTACTATCTTATCTTCATTTTGATCTAGTAAGGAGAAAAGAAAATGATTTATTAAATCATTACTGTTATCAGTATATATCCATTGTCATTACATTTAACACTATTGCTACTACAGCCAACTCTCATCATTGGTTGATATCTATTTTATTAGCATCTCTAAGTTCTATCGTTCAAAACAAAACAATATTAAAGTGTAATTCTCATAAATGAATTTTCTAATCAATGTTATTTCATTTCAAATGATACTTACATTCATGCCAACAATTCCTGGATTATAATCCTTTGTCTGAAAAAAGTACGACACTTATAAGAATGAAAGGAGTAAAATTTTTTAAATACATATTAAGTTAAAAAAAAATTTTTTCCATTTACATAATCTGAATTAGATCATTTTTTGATTAGTTTAATGGATTAATCTTCAACAAACTAACCTTTTGCACTGTCGCTGAAGTCATTAGCGCCTTTCTGATCAGATTGATCATCTATCAATTGCAAATTAATATTATTAGTATTACATATACGTACTATGTCGCTACTACGATAGATCTCGATGGTCGATGGTATTAAGTGATAATTTGAATTTCATACAATTCAAGATTTTTGAAGGGATGCAAAAATAAAAATTACTCCACTTAGAAGAAAGAGAGCTATAAAAATGTAGGAATATCGAATATTTCACGAAATATCGATATTCTCTCTATCGATAATTAACCTAAAAAATTCTTTAGGAATCATTGTTTCGGAATGATAAATTGTATAAAATGATAATAATGATAAGAAATAAGAGAACGATTTATCACTTTATCAACAACACATTATCACTCCTCCAAATTTTCACTTGTGTCACATTGATCAAATAAAACACTGAGAGATGATGTGACACGAGAAAGTTTAAAGTGTCAGAGAGAGAGGCTTGCTAGCTTCACTCATATACTGCCTAACCAACTCTATCGCATTATCGATTTTCGTAAACAATGAAATTCGTTTCGTTCAATATCGATCAAATAACACGGAGAATTATAATAATAGAAAAAAAAATTCTTTTTTTGCAATTGTTTGAAATTTTTTGAAATTTTAATTGGATTAGATTAGTCTTAATTTAGGTTAATGATAAGTAAAATAAAAGGAGTTACATAGATTATACATCAGGAGCATTACAATTAATTTCACCAAATCCTTTTTCTTCTATACCACGTGATCTGTCGTAATGTTATCTTAACGTGAAATACATGAAAAGAAGTGTATAGTAATTCTTAGCATCTATAATTATAAGCAATCATAATAAAACTACCTAAAACTTAAATATAACTGCTCAGTTATCTTTCAGTAATAGAAAAATTGAAATTAAACGAGTGATTATTGAATATGGACATGCTACAATTTATGTGTTTTTTTTGTCGTGTAACCCACCGTTTACAAATGCGAAAATATACGTGGAGGAAAAAGGAAAAGTCTGCTGTAGCATTATTTTATTCCATATGGTAACTCAAAAGTACATCAAATAATGCTTTATTTTACATGCTGTTAATAAAAATATTGTAAAATTAATACAAAATAAAATTACAAAAATCATTGGCACTTATACACTATCGCAATATTCTCGAACACGGTTATCATCGTATGCTATTATGTATTATTATTCATCATTGAGGAATTTATTGTTCTTTGATACCACGGTACCAAACGGCTGTACCAGCAAGTGCCGCCAATGGTACCAAAGCAACCGATCTGAATAAATGAATGAATGTACATCGATTTGAAACGTATAAATTATCACTGCATACATTATATATTTTACAAATCCAAAAAATTAACGCAAACATTTTAGAGGAAGCATAACAAATTTGTCACTGAAAAATGATTTAAGATTTGATTGAAGTATTCAAAGAAGATTAAAATCAATTCTTCCAATTGATCTTAATTAATAATTGGAAAGCTTACTAGAAGAGAATTAGTTAAATTATTCATTTACCGACTAAATTCCGCTTGCGACATGCTTGTCATAAAGCTTTTACGAGCGATGAGAAGTACCATTTGAAAAGTAACGCATGCGAGAATCGGAATAGTCGGATTTTTCATAAATTTCTCGTACATTCTCTTCATAACTCCTGCATCATTTGGCTGCAAAGAATTGCATACATTCATGCATGCACTATAGCATAATTTCTCTCATTAATTTTCTCAATTAAATTTACTAAAAAGTTACCGAAGGATGAGAGACAAAAGACATGCTGTCGTTTGCAATTATTGTAATCTATGTAACTACCTGAAACAAAATTCGCTGCTAATATAAATACGAGCATAAAAAATATAATGTGAAAATTTACATAGTAAAACTAAAATTTATATACCATTTACTAAATGAAATATTCGTTTGAAAAAATACATATTCATTTAGCAAAATGGTACGTAAATTTTAATTTTACTATGTAAATTCTCACATTATCTATTATCTATGCTCATATTTATGTTACTGGCAGATGTTAACTATGAATGAAATGGTTACACGTAAATGAAACAATGAAACGTAAAAAAAGAAACTAAACACTGGAACGTAAAGTACATTTTATCTGAATTATTGCTACACTAATCATTATCCCTTTCCTTCCAGCTTTACTAAACAATTCATACCACCAATATTAACGTGATTACGTGAAAGGTGCAAGATATAGGAGTACCAGACCCGATATCAGGAATACATCATTAAGCACCACGCCACATATACAGCAAACTGCACACGTCATATTTAAAGATAAAAATAAAAGAATGAATTGATAGCACAACGTGTTTTTCTTCTCGTATCACCGCTCTTCTTTCCAGTCCATTTACCGTTTCTCTCTATTTATTGAAGGAAAGAGTGTACAAAAAAAATGGTGCATATGCCAGCTCGGATGATGAATTTTCACTTCTCACTGTTTCATTGCTTCACATTAAATTTTCCTCTTTTCGATTTTTTTCTGAAAAGATGATAATAATCAAAGAGTTTTCTGAAAAAGAAATGACGATAATAAATAAATGAATTAATTAAATAAATGAATGAATAAATATAAATAAATGAATAAATGATTTAATAAACTAAAAAGGAATGAATGAATAAATGAGCAAATAAACAAGTTAATAAATAATAATGATAATAATAATTGTTGTAGCAGTAGTAGTAGTGGCAATTAATAATAATAAGAATAATAATAATGATAATAATAAATATTAATAGTAAATTAATAGTATAATAATAATATTAATAATATTAATAGTATAATAGTAAATAGGTAAATACATAATAATGAACACTAAATCAGGAATACTGACCGCATGTATCGATGATATTGGCACGTTGAATTGGTCGGAATTTATGAACTTCTTTGTTGCATTCATATTTTTGATAGATTAGTCAGTATTTCAAAGTTTATTAATCGATATTTCGAAGTTTCAAACTTCCGTACGATGTTATTCATTTGTTCATATAATTAATTATTTCATGTCGTTTCTTTTCTAAAGTACTTGTTGCTTATTTTGCTCAATGTTAAATCGAATTGGCTAATGTTTGAATATGAAAATTAATTCTCATTAAAAACTTTGCTACACTGAAAAGATAGATCGACTGATTCCTTACTGACTAATTATTTAAATTGCTTTTTTTTTAACTACCGACAAGTTAAAATTTGTTTCATTTATTCATATTCTGATGAATGAAAAAAGTTTTGTCAAATTTCATTGATTCGTTGCAATTTTATTTTCGATCCAAGTTTTCGGTTGGAAAATGATTCTAATGGACTATCAGTTACTAGAACAATCCATTATCAATCCATTATAGATCAATCCATTAAAACAGCCCATTATCGATTTCTCTAATATTTGCAAATATTTAGCCTTATTTTATCTAAACTTTGTAAATTTCAGGCCTCTTCTGTCATATCATTGGTTAATATTTAATCATAAAAATATGATATTCAAAATTTTCAATCAATTAATTTTCTTTTAATTCTTGACAGTTTAATTAGTTCAAAATGAAACATTTAAAGAAAGAATTATTTTCTAGCAAAACATCGTTGATAAATTATTTTCTGAAAAAGAAAATAAATGATAATATAACTTATTTGATAAGCAAACATTCATGTAGTTTTAGTACTGAAATTAGTATTTTTTTCTACTCATCTCTGTATCATTTCCAGTAATTTTTGCAAGGTCATTTTATTCTGTCGCTTACAAAATACATGTTAGTAAGTTACTTAATTGACACATAATATAGCTAATTAAATGATATCAAAAATATTTAATTGAGGCGACTAAAATGTCGTTCATTTAAGAAGTGCCAACATGTAGAGAGTTTTAAAAAGTTTTTTTTTCAATTTCATAAGAAGCACAATGTTAATTTAACTTTAGTTAAAAGTCCATTTATTTTATATTTTATTTATTTATTTTTTGGAAATTTATGAAGGTTCTTTTCTCTCTTTATCATATCATCACTCTTTTGCGGTAGCATCAATTTCATTGTTTTGTGAAAATTGACTACATTGGAAGATTTTTGGGAGACAAAGAGAATTTGAAAGTTGACTTGTTCTGGATTTGTTTTAACCAATTTTACATCAGTGATCACACGTTTTTCAAAGTGTTATTTGAATTTAAAAAGGAAATTTAGCAATAAATGGATTGGAAATTTGAATTCATTTGACAACTAATGATTATTTTATTACAGAAAGATATGCCATCAATAAACTTACATTCTTATTTGATCAAAAATAAAATAATGCCAACAGAATCGTAACTCTGTTGACTTTCACGAAAATGTTTCGGTAATTTACTGACAGGCTTTTTAATGAAATTCCCTGACATTTATTCTCTTGATCGCCGCTAATTAACAGCATTTCGTGTTAACATTTTTAATATCCTCCCTAAATATCTCTTCACTATTTTCCGACTCCATGAAGTGGAAGATTTGCTTGATAGTTGTCAAGAACTAATTCCATCTGTAAAAAAAAGTACGATTTTATGCAATTAGCAAACATTAAAGCGGAAATGTTATCGATAAATATCAATATCACATAAATACTAATTGTTGAACTTATT